AATACATTGGTGCTTACCTTTTTTTTGGCATACACTGGTGCTTACATGAAGTATTTTGTGCTTACATGAAGTTTATACACAGACTAATGAATATGTATACACAGACTAATTTATATAAATACAAGCATTATTCATCAATACTATACACACAAACTCCATCAACTTTAAACCAAAATCAAACCACTTACAAATTACAATTGAATATAATAATATTAAATACAGACATTATAAAATGAAATACACACAAAGTACTTGATAACCAATTACTAGAACAAATGAATAAAAGATTATGAAATGCAGACATTATTAAATGCAATACAGGCAAGTTCAAACAATGATCAAATAAATTACAAGAACAAATGAATAAAATATTATTAAAGACAGGCATAATTAAATGTAATACAGACAAACAAAATAGTACTACAATGACATTCTAAACACGATGTACGTATGATACTCACATTCTAAAACAAGTCTATGAACTTCATAATGTGTTCCATTCAGCTGAGAAAACTCACAACGAAATAATACATAATTATGGCAACATATTTGTAATTGTATATACGAACACACAATAAATGGTTCCACGCAGACATTTTTATTTCTCTACATACAAAAAGGTAAGCACCAATGTATTTATATTAATTACATATACAAAAAAATCTACACCCTTGGACATAATTCTTCATTGTAAATCATTCTTCAAGTTCCACAGTCGATTGGCGAATTCACACCTCTTCTTCGCCATGTTCTCGTACTCGCAACCGGGTATGAACGAGAGCTCCAACATGAGGTACTCCGCAAAACTGAGCACCATCATTCCACACCCCCTGCCAAAAACACATACAATATCTGTTACAGACATCTCTGGAATACCACATACACAACTGACACAAACCACAAACGTATATTACAAACTAGATAGACATCTCAGGAAAGTAAGATACACACTACATAGACATCTCAGTAACACCATATAGACAAGTGAAAAGAAGCACAAACATATATAACAAACTACACAGACATCTCAGGAAAATAAGACACACATTACACAGACATCTCAGTAACACCATATAGACAAGTGAAAAGAACCACAAACATATATAACAAACTACACAGACATCTCAGGAAAATAAGACACACACTACACAGACATCTCAGTAACACCATATACACAAGTGAAAAGAAGCACAAACATATATAACAAACTACACAGACATCTCAGGAAAATAAGACACACACTAGACAGACATCTCAGTAACACCATAAAATAGAGACACATATAAGAGGAAACAGACAACTCTCACAAACTCTGACAGCTCAAAATGCCACACAGACAACTGAACAATGCCACACAACTGACAAATTCTTGGGCATACACACATTTGAACAGATGCAATACAGACAGGCCTAAAATGCACAATAGCAAACATAAATAAATGCATGCAGACAACTCTAATATGCACAAACATATAAGAACTAACTAAACAGACATCTTAAAATCACAAAACATTTAACAACACACTACACAGACATCTGAAAAACCACAAACATGTAAGAACACACACTAAAAAATCACAATAGAGAAAATATAGTTTCACTCCAAACAAAAATTCACTCCAAAATAAACTCAAAACAAGGTTAAAAACAATTACCTTTGAGCCAATTCCATCAATGAAGTGCGAACCATTTCCAGTAATGAGTGAAGTGGTGGCGGAGGCAAAACCCAGCAACTTCAGCGTGAAGAATGGCGACTCAAAGGAGAAGAAAATTGGGCCGGCGGCTAACTTTTGGACTTTGCGCACACACCGGACGGGAGGGTGGAACTACCGATGAACTTCAATGGAGAGGGGCAGTGATGGAGTGGCTCGCCTGAAGCAGTTCGACGGGGAAGGGGGTTAAGAGATGGAATCGGTTTCTTTTGGGGGAAAGAGAAAAGAGAGGGCTGGTGTTTTTTTTTGGGATGGAGGAGAGTGGAGAGGGCAGGGGATTAAATGGGTTAGAAAAGGGAGGGGGTGGGCTTTTTATGATGTGTAGTGGTGTGTACAATGCTGTGTACACATAGCATTACTCTAGGGTACTTTTAAAGTTATTTCCCAAATAAGGGTGTTTTTTGCCTTGTCATCTGCCATGTTGGCGTAGTGTGGCACATCACCTTCCACGTCATTCACCACCCATTCTAGGTATACTAAATTGTAAAAAACTCGCTCCAAAAGGGAGTGGAACCTGTGACCCGTGGTTAAACAATTCAAATCCACACCACTTCACCACTTTGCTCAACTATGATTTGTTTTCCTTTTGAAATATTTGAAATGAATACAACGGTTTTACGTATTCAAGAATCAAGAGTGCCGAGCTTATAAACTCATGAATTACAATTACTCGTTCTATTTTCAAAGAATTTAGAGCAGACCTATATTAAAAATATATAGAGCACGTTAAAATAAATTGAAAATAGAAAATTCATTTTTAGTTCGTCTTCGAGCATCTTATTCAAATTTAAACCTATAAAAGTTTATGAGCAAAATCTGAACCAAGTGCGGGTCAACTCTGAGCCGAACTGAGACGTTATAAACAAAATTATTAGATACCAGTAATTTTTACACGTTTTTATCTCTATAATAGAAGAATTTTTTTAAATTTTTGTGTGGAATAGGGCCCAACATAGCATTTATTTTTATTATTATTTTGAGTAATTAAAAATTAATTTTAAATTCCGTATCTCAAATTAATTTTTTAGTATATTTTCATTTGGTTTTAATTTTTTATTTGAATATCTGGAATTATGTTGTTATCATGTCTTACCTTAATAATATATAAGATTTTTTTATTTTGCTATAGGATAGGGCCCAACACACATTTGTTTTTGAGTTTTTTAAATTTTATATTTCATATCTTAAATTAAGTTTTTAGTATATTTTAATTAGGGGTTCATTTTATCATGTTTTATGTTTTTTTTTGAAAGACATGTTTTATGTTTATATGAGCAAGAAATAATTTATTTTTAAAGGAATGAATAATGCACGAGTTTAACTAGTGCACTCTTGAATGTGTAAAACCGTTATTTTCAAATATTTGGAAAGGAGAACATGTAACAAGAGAGCAAAGTGGTGGAGTGGTGTGGATGTCATTTGTTGAACCATAGGTCACAGGTTCAACTCTCTTTAGGAATGATTTTTTTACAATTTTAGTAGACCTAAATTAAATGATGTGGAATGGATGGCGAATGACATGGAAGGTGTGATGGCCACTACACTGACATGGCAAATGACAAGGCAAAAAACACCCTTATTTGGTAAATAAGTTTAAAAGTACCCTAGATTGGGAAATAAGATTTAAAACTACCCCACTTCGGGAAAAAACTCCATGATTTATTCATATGTCATAGTCTTTTCACACCATTATAAACAATTTGATTGACTTGACAATCATCCTTAAAACACGAACTCCTTCACTGGCCTTTACACGATCATTTCAGATCAAAAGGAACTGAAATCGGATTAATACAGAAAATTAATTAAAGCACAACCTTGTTTAGACAAAAAAGGTGAACTTGATTGGAAACAAAAGTAATGAGTTGATTTGATTGGAAACAAAAGTAACTTACAAGTTGTGACATTGGAGTCTAACCGTTTAAATTACTACAACCTTATTCAAATTTTATCTTGTTTTTACTATTACTAAAACGTTTCTTTTAGGGATATTACTCAAAATGGGACTAAAAAAGTTTGAAAATTCCAAAATAGGACTTTCATGTTTTTATTCCCAAAATAGGACTAATTACTGCCATGTTTTGGCAGTACCAGACTTCAAACATAGCAGTATTTTCCAAATTTGGCAGTAATTAGTCCTATTTTGAGAATAAAAACATGACAGTCATATTTTGGAATTTTCGAACCTTTTTAGTCCCATTTCGGGAACTTTCCCTTTCTTTTATGGTAATTAAACTAATTAGTTATTTCAAACTAATATACTTTATTGAGCTAGCATTTCAATTTCATCATTTTTATCAAATTTCAAAAGTATTTATGATGATGTAATGATTTCAACTTTCGATCCGTCTTAGGTGCCGTTCTGTTCGTTTTATTCTTATTACTTATTACTTATTCTTATTTTATTCAGATCAGATCAGATCAGAAAAATTCAGATCAGACCAGATCAGATCAGAAAGATTCAGATCAGACCAGATCAGATCAGAAAGATTCAGATCAGATCAGATCAGATCAGAAAGATTCAGATCAGATCAGATCAGATCAGAAAGATTCAGATCAGATCAGAAACATTCAGATCAGATCAGACCAGATCAGAAACATTCAGACCAGATCAGAAACATTCAGATCAGATCAGAAAGATTCAGATCAGATCAGATCAGATCAGAAAGATTCAGATCAGATCAGATCAGATCAGACAGATTCAGATCAGATCAGATCAGATCAGATCAGAAAAATTCAGATCAGATCAGATCAGAACTTAAAAAATTCAGATCAGAAACATTCAGATCAGGCGAAGAGAACAGCTTCTAAGTCTTTATATAAGAGGCTCTGTTCGGCCGTCGCGATTTCGGGCGGTTCTCGGTGGAATTTTTTGATGAAATTTTTGAACATCTTATTCATCAAGTCTAGTCTACTCATACCAAATTTCAGCTAAAACTTCCATCGGGAACGCATTCAAATTACTTATTGAAGATAACTGCGCATTTAACTGAACAATTATCTTCAAGAATTAATTTGAATGCGTTCCCGATTGAAGTTTTAGCTGAAATTTGATATGAGTAAACTAGACTTGATGAATAAGGTGCTCAAAAAATTTTATCAAAAAAATCCACCGGGAACCGCCCGAAATCGCAACGGTCGGACAGAGTTTCCTATATAATGACTTATTTGACCTTTTAATGAAGGTTCTAGGAGGTATTTGACAGTTTTGCCAAAAAGTTTTACCAAACTGCTCCCTCTGGTCCACCCTCCCACTTCAACTCTCTCATGCATCTTCCACTTCCCCCCAGTATTCCAGTGTCGATGTTTTTTAGCTTGTGCAAAACCCTTCATCCCACACTTCCCTTTCGCAGCATTTCCCCGTCTTTCCGTCGGTCTTCTTGTAACATGAACTCAGACTCTCGAATGTTCCAGCTCAAACTAGACCCATTAACTGGCAGCTCCGAATGGATTGTCATTGACGAAAGCGAAAGTCCAGAGCAAACTCCAACCCCACTTCTTGCTACAACGTCGTATCTCGATATGCTTAACGACTCTCCCAGAAACAGAGCTTTCCGAGAAGCGATCGAAAAGACTGTAACTAAGCCTTGCCACGTTCTTGATATTGGGTACGCCTCATTTCTTCGTACTGTTTGCGCTGAAGTTTTTATAATCTTTATCCTGATTTACTTTTGGAAAAGGAAAATTGGTTCTCAGCCAGAATCCCCTGTATGAGCTCTGAACAATTCCAATTACAGTATCAGGCTCTTAAGAGTAGAAAGATGTTTTTTTTTTATGCTGCTTAGAATGTACTTGGAATTTAATTTGCAGCTCTGGAACTGGATTGTTGTCTATGATGGCTGCCCGAGCAATGGGTCATGCTGATTCAGGGGCTAACTCTGGTTCTACAGGGATGGTTACTGCTTGTGAATCGTATCTTCCTATGGTAAAGTTGATGAGAAAAGTTTTAAAGGTCAATGGAATGGAAAGGAGGATTCGCATAATTAATAAGAGGTCAGATGAATTAGAAGTTGGCAGAGATGTAGCATCTCGTGCAGATGTTCTTGTGAGTTCAGTGTCTTAATGTGTTCTATAGTTTGGGTTAGGGACTGTTCACTTACTTTTCTATTAGGTCATGTCTAGATTAATTTGTTTGTAGTAAGATGTCTGTATGAATTAATTGATATTTCTGTACGAGACTGATTATTTTGTGTGCTGATATAGAGTTTGAATTGACTAGAATTATCAATTTAAGGTTATTAATGGATTCATATTCCATAGTCTAATTAGACCAAAGTAGCCAGAAAAAAATCTTACCGGACCAGACAAGAAGGTTCAGATCAGACCAAGCCAATTTTACATTTTAGACTACAAATAATGAAAGATTAGAAACATTTGAAAGAAACAAGTAAGATGTTGAATTAGGCAAGACTCAAAGATTAACATTCATACCAAAGAGAATGAATATTCAGTCCAAACGATATCTTTAAAACAAAAACATCCAAGCCTTAGTCCCAAAATATTTTGAGGTCAGCTAACTTGAATCAATATATGATATCGGAGCCAAAAGAAAAAGAAAGATAAGAAAGAATATACAGAAAAAATACAAAAGATAAAATTTAATAGAGATAAGATATACGAGTATATAAAAATGATAAGATATAAATGATAAAACAATATCTTTAGAAATTGAGACAAAATTACCCTTTTCAGGAAAATAATACATATATTTAATCTATAAGGAGTATATCATAATGAAACTGGTTAATGAAAAATGATTCATTGTCAACCCCTGCAATATAGCGCCATAATGAAATTTATGTAATAATAAATTCCAAGCTTTTATGATGATTCATCAAAATCTTGTTGTGTGATTTATTTTGTTAACGTGGCATGTAATAAAGCCATTGCCAATTATCTATGTTAATGCAGGTTAGTGAAATATTGGACTCAGAGCTATTAGGTGAAGGGCTGATTCCAACTTTGCAGCATGCCCATGACAATCTGTTGGTGAAATGTCCAGAAACAGTGCCTTACAGAGCAACAATTTACGGTCAGGTGTTGACCAAAACTACTTTAAACTTTTGCAAAGTGTGCATGATGTGCTACCCTAAAATATCTCAGAAAGCATTTTGGTGTATACTTAATTATTTATTCTTCATGAGTGCAGAATTATATCTCACCATCCCTTTATGAATGTGCGTACATGTATTTAGTACTAGTCTGTAAATATACACCATGGGGAATACTTAGTGAGCCGTTTGATTTGGAAGCACCAAACAGTGCTAAGTTAATAAGGGCCGTTTGTAAGTATTGTTTTGGTGAAATGAGTCATATGACTGAATCACCTGAGTTTTCTGAAAGAAATAGTGGTTTGATAACATCCATATTCCATCCAAATAGTAAGTGAAAAGCTACTTATTCTGCTTTAGCTTTACAATCGGAACGGGGCGAACTGACTAACACGAGGAATAAGTATTACACTTATGCAACTTCAAGTAACAATTGGCAATGCTTTGAAAGTAATTTTTTAGTTTGCTGTCTTAGAAACATTATCTTATTTGCTGCTATATTTTGTATGGTTTTAAGTGTTAATTATGGCCCTATATCTTCTATTATGGGATCACTGTTTTTGGATTTTTTATTACTCTGATGTACCTTACTTCATACACTTAATATATCTTCTATAAGGTTTAAAGTATTTTTGTTGCAAATAAATGGAGTTTCAGTTTTTTTTTGTCTTTGTCATTAGTTGGTTGAAAGCAAAGGCTTGTGGAAGATGCATGACTTATTTAGTAATGAAGATAAGACATCAGATACAATTCATCTTGTTCCAAAAGGCATGGAGACCATTTTATCTGTAAACCCCCAGCAACACCCTATGCATTGTGATGCAATCAGTGAGGAAATTAAACAGGTACTCATTATTTACATTTTTTTTTTAAAAGCATCACCATCGTCATCATTGTTTTTTTAAATGTCCTACTGAAATTTAAGTTTTTTTTAAAGCTTTCAGAACCCTTCAAAATATTTGATTTTGACTTTTGGAAAAGGCCAGACAGCTCTAGAGAAACCGACTTGGTTATAAAGGCAACTAAAGGTGGAACAGTTCATGCTGTCATCTCGTGGTATTTAAATGGGCCATTTTTAGTCATGTTATGAGCACGCTTTTGCTTATCTTATAGTGGTAATTTTTTCCCCAGGTGGTTGCTTCAACTTGATAGAGCAGGGACAGTCTTTTATTCCACTGGGCCAAAGTGGTTACATTGCCTCCCTAATGTGAAGGAGTTAAACCGATCCCTATCTTTTAAGAGTAGACATCTTACTTTTGATATTTATTTTGGGCACAAAGTTAATAAGCCTCCTAACTCTATAACCTTTTAAATTTTAACCTTGTAACCTTATGGCCCCCTATATTTGAAAATTGTAACAATGATACACTAAAGAAGGTCCATACATTACTAAAATGAATGGACTTGAAACCATATTACTACTGAATTTGAAACAGCTCTAGCACATGATCAATCTCCTAAACACTATGTTTGGGAATTTTCAACAGGAGGAGAGGAAAATAAGAAGAGAAATACTTTTTTTTTCCTTATTAATAATGATCATTCTTGTATTTAGAACTAGAAATTTAGACTTGACTAAAATAAAAAAGGGAAGAATAATCCATTAATTTTTATTTTTTGCATGCTGATTTTGGAGGAAAATAAAAATAATGTTATAAGTTTCTGATTCCAACCATCATAGCAAATTAACCGACACGACAAACTTCAATGTTTTAAATGTTGGATAAAAATACAAATTTATAATGAATGGTGCATTTTCCATCCATTGGGTGGGGTGAGAGGAAGATGAAAAGTAATTTTTATTATAATTTCTATCTTTATTTTCCCTTCCCTAGTTCCCTTGCAAGATAAAATGTCTTTCTTCCTTCCAAAAGATAGTAAAAATGTATATATTTCCTTTTGATTTAAGGTGCAGTTTTTATTGACTAGATTTCCAATTAAAATTTAAAATATCAGCTATACGTAAAATTATTATTTAATTGTATTGTATTTATATTTATATTTCACTGTGGGGTGAGAGGAAGATGAAAAGTAATTTTTATTATAATTTCTATCTTTATTTTCCCTTCCCTGACAAGATAAAATGTCTTTCTTCCTTCCAAGAGATAGTAAAAATGTATATATTTCCTTTTGATTTAAGGTGCAGTTTTTATTGACTAGATTTCCAATTAAATTTAAAATATCAGCCACACATAAAATTCTTATTTAATTGTATTGTATTTATATTTATATTTCACTGTAGGTTCTGAAGCATGGTGTGATCATTGGAAACAATGTGTTTGGTTCGTTCCAAACAGAGGTTTACCTGTACATAAGGATGAACATGTCCATTTAAACGCCATTCATAACAATATTAGCATCATGTACAAAGTGAAGTCCGTATCTCAAAATATGGAAATTGAACATTGCAAACTCAATGCCCAAGGTTGCCAACTTTTTTTATCACCAGAAAGAATTGCAATATATGGTGACAACGATTGGAGATGTTCAATGCTTAAAGTCATTAACAAAGCTGTAAGCCTCCCCCACAATTGCTGTTGTTTAGTTTTTTTTATACTGGCTTAGCTTACTCTGTCCTACCATACATTAAAAGCCTGTTTGGGAACCTATTGTTTCATTATTTTTAGAAACTTCAGTGGTTTTTTAAATGTAATCACTTTGGGAAACATTCTTCTCTTTGAGAACTACTCCGTACTTTTTTTCATGTTTTTAATTGTTTTTAAAGGTTGGAAATCTCTTGCTTATGATTATTTTTCAACAATGTATTACCCCTCTTTTATTTTACCTTGTAAAAGCTAATTTTAGTTGCATCTAAATGCTATTAATTAATTTTAAACCACTTCTCAGCAATGTTTACTTTAACAAAAATTGGTTCTGTTTAACATTGATTATACATATAACCACTTATTGAGATACTTTAAATTTTCAGCTAAATCATAAGGTGTCTCCATTGTGTGTTGTTGCTGATGACAGCATTTTCATGACAATTGCTATTGCTCAACTCAGCAAAGCATATGTCATATCCATGTTACCTGGTCTGCTGGACAAAGGTGAACAGTATCTGCAAGCTGTTGCTGATTCAAATGACTATTCAATGGATTGCATTAAAGTTCTAAAAAGGAGAAACTATGCCTTGACCATGCAGGATACACACCACAGAAAGGTAACAAAGAGAACTTGCATGTATTGCAGTCCAAATGCATACATAATCTTTACAGGGAATACAAGGAATTTATTTCAAACTTGCAATTAGTGTGATACATAGGAAAGTCTTAACAAGCTGTCGTCAAGCTTGACTTCTTGAGCATTAAAATGGAAGTGTGTGTTGAAGTGTTTTTCCAGCATCGACTAAACATAAAATAAGAATTAAACATTTATGATCTTGGATTATTCATTGTAAAAGATTTACTTTTTAGATTTAACCCCAACTCTTAATTTAGTGTTGTATCTTCATCCACACATATTAAAAATAAAGTAAGAAACCAGCACACGAGATCTAGAGACCTCCTATCCGATAGACCTTCAAGGGATGAACCCAAACTCTCAATATGGTATTAGAGCTAAGCCAATCCATAGTCATGATCTAGTCATGCTATAGATGAGGTGTCGATCTGTGAAGAGTATGTGTGTTTATTAGGAAAAATGTTGCACTGTCTAGATGGCGTTGGAGAGTAGGCGGTGTGCGCTTCTATGAGAAAAAAGTTGAGCTTACTAGATGAGTTGTTGGACCTTGAGTGCGTAATGTTGTGTGTCCCTCTCTATAAGGAAACAGAATTTGCACAGGCTAGATGACATGTCTGGCCTCGAAGAATGTTGGAGAATTTGTCCCACGTTGACTGAATATCAAATAAGAAACTATTGAGTATCATATAAGAACTTAGGTTATTTCTCTTATTAGGTTTCTCTTCTAAGATAAAAGTATTACTTAATAGTAAAACTTAAGTTTCTGATTGTCATTGCAGTCAAAATATCCCAAACCAGGCAGAAGATTCCAAAAAGTATCACGCATACACACTTTAGGTGTTTGTACATTTCTACGGAGGCTTGGCTTTGTAACAAAGTTTTGACCTCCACTTTCTTTGTGGTTCTGTATGCTTTTATGACAATCCTATGACTACAAATTCAAATTTGCATATGAATTGATTTATTGGTCTTCAATTATAAAGACATACAGTTTTATGTGTAGGACTGCTTTTTGAACAACCTGGCCCTCTATGGTTGATGCAATTCAATGCATCTTAAGAAAAAGAATTCTAGATTCTTTTAATGGCATTGTTATCCTACAGGTTGACTTCTTGGTTGCAGAACCTTTCTATTATGGAATGGATGGTGTACTTCCCTGGCAAAATCTTCGATTTTGGTAAATGACTAACTGATGCGTCTTTTACACGCCAACACGGCCACTCACCCACATATATGACCATTATGATGGTGGTATGCTTATGTTTGTCTTTACCAGTTGAGTTTTATTGCCTTGACAGAGTTGACTTGACCCACCATAAAGGCATAGAAACCGCACTTTCTTTTGTTATATATTATTTTTATATCTCATATTCCTTTAAAATTTTCCATCATTTGCAATGGAGCCAAAGATTCACTATTTTTTAGGGGTGGGCACGGTCCGGTCCGGTCTGGTCCAATATTTGGCCGAACCCGTACCCGTACCGTTACTATTGAAACGGTTCGGTACGGTTCGGTCTTAGACCCAAACCCGTTCGGTACGACCCATTTTCAAACGGGACGGTACCATGGCATACCAATACCAAACAATGCCACTTTTTCCAGGTGTTTAAGAAAAAATTAAAGTTTAGCCATCCTCCAAAAATCCACACAATGTATCAACTTTCATATATCCATACTACTATACCTTCGTTCCGAATTGATTTGCAAAGTCAATCTTTTTTTGGTCAAACAATTTCTTTTTATTCACTTAATTAGAATTTCACTTTTTAATTATATTCTAATTTGGCCTGTCAAAAAAACTACTCCGTACTTCGTATATTTTAATTTGGATTTTGCAACTTTAGAGAGATTTTAATATGGTTTCTAAATATGTAAATTTTAATTATTAAAAATTGTATTAATTATCAAGAACTTAACATTAACTTTGACAAAAAAATGTTGGCTTTGCAAATCAATTTGGGATATATTTTAATATATTTTAGATAAACTATAGTAGTACAAATTTAATAAACCATACTTCGGTCCGGTTCGGTCCGGTACCGGTTCTCATTTTATGAGAACCGGTCATGGCATTGTTTGAAACCGGTTCGGTCCGGTTCGGGACAAAAAATTTTGAGATCCGTTTCAAACCCCGTTTATCGGTCCGGTACCATACCGGTCCGGTTCGGTATCATGCCGGTTCGGTATTTTTGTCCACCCCTACTATTTTTTAGCTTGAGAATACAATGGAATAAAGCAAAATGGCTCAGTAAACTGTGTGCGCTTCTTTGTTATGAAGCAGCAGTCCGTCCATGCAATTTGGACGCAATTTTCACTATGGGTCATCCGGAAACAGTCTCTCTGTGTTTTGCTTTAGTACAGGGGTAAGACTGCGTACATCCGACCCCCCCTTACCCCACCGTAGGTGGGAGCCTTTGCGGCACTGGGGTAAATGATGATGATGATATTCCTTTAAAAGACCTTACTTTGGGACAATGCTATGGGAAGTTGTTACGATGTGATTAGTCAGACACCCAGACCTCTAAAATTAACCCTTTTTCCCATCTTTATTTATTTACAGGAAAGAAAGAACTGTAATGGATCCTATCTTGTCAAAAGATGTGGTGATAATGCCTTTTAAGGGACTCTTAAAGGCTTGTGCAATGTCCCTTCCAGTAAGTTGAAGTGATGGTATTCGGATACCTTCTCTACAATTTTACTACAAAAGGCTTCATAGTTGAGACAGATCACCTTATGGAAATGCAAAATCTTCTTTGTAGGATCTCTGGAGAAGCCGTCAATGCCTGAAAGCTATTGAAGGTTTTGATCATTCAGTTGTCAATTCCACGTTAGGTGCATGTGGAGATTTGCCTGCAGGAGAACGAACCCCTTTTCTGCCTTTCTTTATTTGGCAATGTGGTGAGAGTAAGGTAGCATCTTTGAGGTTTATATATCCATATGGTGAATGATGCCCATATTTGTTCTTCCATCTGTTAAAGTTCACCAAAGCATTTGGCTTGTTTATTAAGAGTGTTACTCTTATTTGGTCTAGAGTTTCCTTTTGATGGTCATAAAAAGTGATTCCCCCTTTGTGTCAATTTGGAAGGAGGGTTTTGGAGGGGAATGTTTTGGAAGAATTCATCTATATCTGTATATTTCTAAGAACAAATAAAGGGGATTAAATTATATATGATCATGCATTATGTTAATCCTTCAACTTTTATAAAAACCCACAGGATATAAACTTCTCTCGAAAACTCTCTATCCAAATTGTCCTTGGCTAAAATTGAAAAATTTAAGGGTCAGTGTTGTCATATCAACTAAGAGATTGATGAAGCTGTGATAAGTGAGTATAACCGATCCCACACTTATTTTGTATTTTATTATTTTATATAATGTAATATTTCTTATTATCTACCTCTCTTTTTGGGAAAATCACAATTTTAGTCCCTGAAATAGTCACCATATTGAAATGTCAGACCTGTGTTCCCGAGTTTGTACATGTCACCCTCAATTGTCCAAATTGCTGTAAATGTGCTCCTTTTTTTGAAGTATGTAAATGTGCTCCTTTGAGGGGTGAAATGTACAATGTGGGCAAGGAGTACATTTCGCTCCTCAAAGGATTATATTTACTTCAATATGGTGACTATTTTAGGGACTAAAAGTGCAATTTTCCCTCTTTTTTCAAAAAATAAAATGGTGTTTCATGCTCTAGCAAGAGCGGCGATTTCTATACAAGGCTGTATTTTTTTTATGATTATGCTCCTGTTTGTATTGCTAGCATTCTAGCAAATGATTGTTTGACATAATAATAGATTGGCGATATCATTTAAAAACGAGTTTATTGTTTACTTGAGTTGATCGCAATGAGTAAAAATTATTGCAGAAACTGAGTGAAACATTCAATATAATGGAGTTCAATTTCCAAGAAACAATTTGCCAATGCTCAGGAGAAGCTGAGGTGATTATCATGTTCATGCATCCTTTTTTATAGCACTGTGAGTTTCTCACTGTCTGAAACTGAAAATACAAGTTGCAGTTTGAATTTACCGAGCCAGGAATGTGCCATGGACTGGTGTTCTGGATTGATTGGGTAATGGATGCAGGAGAGTCCATCGTCGTATCAACTGGTCCAGGTATGGCTCTGGTTCTTTATCCCCGATGGGTCCACCCAATCCTAGCTGATATGGTTTCCTCTACCATATTTTAAGTTGTCGTGCTGCATTTCCGGTTTCCTGACAGAGCCATAAAATCATGGTATTTTTTGCTTAGAGTTAATATCCAATTTAGTCCCTTTATTACCCTGTTCACTCATTAACTTTCTTTTACTCAATTTGATCCTTGATCATGCATTTTAGTCCAATTCACTCGGCATGCATATTTTGTTCTACTTGTTAAGGGGACTAAATTGGTCCAACTTACCTTGTTATTGACCAAATTGAGTCCAAAATTAGATTGATATTCAGTGAACAGGAGAAAATACTCTTCTTTGCTAGAACCTAATGTGTATGGTGACTAAATTAGCCTTTAAGTTTCATAACCGAGGACCAAAATAAGTACAACAAAATAGTTTAGGACCACATTAAGTAGTACTATGGCACTATCTCTTTGCACAAAATAAATTTCCTAGTTCGACTTGACAAACTTATTAAGAATGCAAGATTGCGTGGTTGTGATTTATTATTAAAGTTAATATCAACCACACATTTCCTTGTCCTAAGGAAACATGAACCTTTTCAAGGGAAAGAGTAGAGGGAGTGCTGCATATAGTAGAAGGGCTAAATCGGTAATTAATTCTTTTTTCTTTTTCAGAACAAAGATATTGGAAGCAAGGTGTGAAGCTTTTAGAGAAGCCTGTGACTGTCCAGAACTGTGGGGGATCCATCCCAAAAGTTGAAGCCTCGTTTGATCCCACAAACGCTGATCTCAGTGTGGAACTTACTTTTATATGATACGTAGTATGATTTTATGAACTCTTTACTTTGTTCCCTTCAATTGGACTCATCTATGCAATCTAGGGATGACTCTGGGCTGATTCAGGTTCCAAAATGGTCTGTTCCAAGTCCAAATCAACACCTGCCTGTAACTGTTACCAGACATATGTGGTTCCAGTTCTGGTTGGTTTCAAACAGGTTGTATTCAGAGTTTTTTCCCCAAAAAAATGTGGAGAAAACCAGAACTGGTCTGGTTACTCTGGTCATCGGGTGGAACCACAACCTCTTTGGAGAACCAAGAAACAGTTGCCAGGTCCGGAATTCTACTGTCGCACCCTCCTAGTGCAATCATGGCTTGGCATGTTATTTTTGTATGAACTGCTCTAGCAGTCTAGCTTAGAGGCATGTAGATGTATATTTGAAGACGATTTGTTTTTACATTATCTTTGTTGCCAACTTACTGACTCGCTGTATTTGGATTTGGTAAACGTTATGGTTGTAGTTCGAGGAATTATAGCAACTCATGTTTCTAGATTTACTTCCACTCTTAAAAAATTTCACCATTTACCATCAGTCATCACTGCTTAAAACATTGTGTTTTTCACTAGCATGCAAAGTCTAACTCACTGCTCTTATAATAAAAATAATACCTCTACCACTGTACCACACCTGATAGTCTCATACTTCCTTCGTCCCATTGTACTTGTCCTATTTTCCTTTTTGGGCTGTTCCAAAATAAGTGTCTATTTTCTTCTTTTGGAAAGAAATATGTGGTTTACACCATTTCACTTTATTATACTCAAATCTCAACTACAACTTTTACTTTTTTAACCACTTCATTAATAACTGTACCAAATCAAACTAAGACACATAAAATGGGACGGAGGTAGTACTATTTTTGCTCACAAGACTTGAGACAATCATTTAGATTGAATATCATTTGAATTAATACGTAGGATGTTATTACAAGATATCCTTTGTTTTAAATATCATATCATATACGTTATACGTAGTACTTGTAATTACCAATTTACCAGTAGTAAATATTTCTTAGATTCTCAATAATCTTGAATACAAGTTTTTTGTTCAAGTGCTCGAACAAACATCATTTATCAATTTTTTTCAATCTTTAGGATTGTATTCAACTGGTGTGATACCTCCAGCCTCCTACAGTTTAATGACTACGTGAAATCTTTAAATATATAAGATTAAGGACATTGTTCAGTTGTTCTTTCACTTTGTACTTATATTTAGTATTCCATAGTTTCCAACCGTGGACTAGGAGATTTCAAGTAATACGAGAATTCCAAACAATTAGCTTCATATATGGGTGGACCGGTTCCGGTTCGGGCCTGGGCCCGGCCGGGCCTCGGTTCAAAAATGGGAGGCCCGGAACCGGACCGGGCCAGGCCTCGGTTTTTTTTTAGGCTTTTCCTAATGGGAAAAGGTGCAAATAGGCCCATGTACTAATCAAAAAAGGTCAAATAAGCCCTTATTTAGGAGGCTCTGTCCGGCCGTCGTCATTTGGGGTGGTTTCCGGTGGAATTTTTTGATGAAATTTTTTGAGCATCTTATTCATCAAGTCTAGTTTACTCATACCAAATTTCAGCTAAAACTTTAATCGGGAAGACATTCAAATGAATTCTTGAAGATAACTGCGCTTCTAACTGCGCAATTATTTTCAAGAATTCATTTGAATGCCTTCCCGATTGAAGTTTTAGCTGAAATTTGGTATGAGTAAACTAGACTTCATGAATAAGATGCTCAAAAGTTTTCATCAAAAAATTCCACCGGAAACCACTTCAAATGGCGACGGCCGGACAAAACCTCCTAAATAAGGGCTTATTTGACCTTTTTTGGTTAGTACATGGGCCTATTTGCACCTTTTCCCTTTCCTAATTAACCCCCAACCCTCCCCCCTCACCCCCAAACCACCTCAAATGGCCCAAAATACCAAGCCCAACCCAAAAACATAAAAAAAAAAAATCAAAAAAAAAATTAATTTGGCCCGAACCGGGTCCAAACCGGCCGGGCCGGTTCGCCAATCAAAGGGCCCGGGCCCGAACCGCACAGTAACCGGGCCGGGCCGGGCCGACCCGAACCGCCCCCGGACCGGTTCCCGGGCCGGGCCGGTTCAAACAGTAACCGGGCCGGGCCGCCCGGCCCGAGTCCATCCCTAGCTTCATATCCAAACACACGCTAAAGATCATTCAATCAATACTTGATAGATTTATTAAATTCGATAAGTAAAACAAAAACCAACAAAGGTGATAATCTAAATACAGACTGATAGGGGTGGTTCCAAGGGTTGTGAGCTTTCAAATATGCCCCTATATGCTATTCCATATGATATCATTTGAGTAGACTATGAATCTATGATCAACTCATCAACAGCTAGTAGAAGTGAGAGGAGGTGATACAATGTCACTTTGAGGATAACAGATGAAGTGATGAAAGCCGAAGCAAAACGGACAGAGAAAGCAGACTTCGCCTGTTTGATCATGTAATGCAGCAATTTGGTTGAGCCCCAAGCATCTCAGGGGTTCTGCAAAGCACAAGAAAGGACAACCTTAAAAATTGCCGAATAAATCGCATCATAAAGCAAAAGCCTCAACCCCCAAACATTTTTTTTTTATCTTTTATCAGGGATGCTGAAAGCCAAACCTTCTTCCCGAATCTGTAGCTCAAACAACTTCATTTTTCCAAGTAGGGAGGATTGTTCTTTATTTTACTCTTTTATTTCTACTCCACAATTCCACATTTGTTTGTTTTAAACTAGCAACTATATGATTAGACCAAGTGTTTCTATATATAGGTTTTTTTTATCTTCCCTTCATTTGAAATTAAGTAAATGCATAAAGTATCTAACAAAATAAACACTGCATCACATATCACTCCAATCAATATCACAAGAGCATTATTTATTTGCTTTCAACCTCCATGTGCTCTAAAGAGTCAAAATCAGATTGATTGTTAGACAAAACAATAATGCAAACTCAGATACAAAAGACTGCGCTACTCCTGCAATAAGGTAAGGTTTGACCTTCTAGAGTGCACCCTCAAGTCTGAATACATAGTACTTGGTTTAATGCATTGACAACAATTACCTGAGTTAAATTATTGCAGCCGACATGCTTTAGCGATTGAACAGTTAAGAAAAGTGAGCAGGTAAAACAATCAGATGAACGTAATTAAGGCAGTGAAAGCAGTACTTACAATTGACCAAGAGTTGACAAATCAAAATCTGGAGCAAGCTCATTGACAATGTCATTAGGCGGTTGGCCACACTCTTGCATTTTCTGCATAAGCTCAACAATCTTGTTGAAGTTTGCTGGCTCAGTTTCATAAACTACATTAAGCTCTTTTATGAGTTCATACTGCTTCTCATAACGGCTGTATTCTTCGTTCACCAGTTTAGCTTTATTTTCATCTAACCATTTAGGGTATCTTTCTTCCATTTCTTTCATAGGCTCGTGAAGAATTTCTTTAGATAAGAGTTGTTGCATCATAGTCTCTACCATAGACTCCATGTCCTGTGAAATAACAAACCACTACTTTTATTAATATGAGGTTCAACTTAAAACTTCATAATTCTTAAGGACTACTAAAATTCTCATAGAGAACTAATGGGCCTACACGCTACACCCGACAGAATAGGAAACTCAAATCCCTAACCAAATGAGAGTGAGAAATTAGAATACTAAATAACACGGATTACTGTATTTACTGCAAGTATAATCTTCTAAACTTATAACATTCACAAGGTATTTTTTCATTTTTTTTACCAACAGTGATATAAAAAATAACAGTAGGGAGAAAATGCATAGGAGTAGTATATTTTTTGAGCTGTTACATATTACCATAGAACGTGAAAAATCTCTTAATTATAAAATAAAAGAATGCCTCCCCTCTTCAGGGTCCAACTCTTTAACATACCCTAATGCGGGGCATAAAATTGTGATTTATGCCAAAAAGCACATTAACAGACAACATGTATCAAAACTATTTCGCCTGAAGTTTCAACCAATCACAATAACATGAACGATCTAAAAAGCACAGAGCACAAATTGTTAATGAAGCAATTAAATTTCACATACTGTCCTTTAGTCCTAAATATTGTTCTAAAACTCACTAGGCACTAGTCGGGCGTTTGAAGGGCGCTAGACGGCCCACTAGGCCATTTTTTGGCCGACTAGACCGAATTTTTAGCTGACTGAGCCGATTAGTCCTCTACAGTAGAGCCGACGAGGCTGACTAGGCCAATTTTTAGAACAACGGTCCTAAATAACAAACCATACAAACTAAATACAAAATCTGAAAAATTCTACAGTGAAAATACAGATATTCCAAACTTTACCTGAGACCCAGCAAGCTCCTCAAACTGCTTGACCCATTCATCCATCATTGCATCACTCCCCAAATCCTGATCACCAGGAAGCTCCAAGCCATTTATCGATTCTAAGCCCTTCACAGCCTCCCTGGTTTGCTCTCTGAGCTTATCAAGAGCCTCAGAAGCGTGCGAGTCCTTCACAGCCTTGGATTCCTTCTTTTGCTTACCGGTTTTCTTAGCTCTCAAATCTGGCAATCCCATCCCTAGACCCTGAACCTCGCTAGGCATAGAACTCCCCTTCTCTTCTCCCACTTTACTTCTACAAAACCAAACCAAACCTTTTTCATCACTTATCTGTATATACACTTGTTAAGCATCAAAAGTTCAGATAAAATAAAAGGAGATTTATGAAACAAGAAAAAAGGGATACCTTTGAGAAGCACCAGCGATATTGAGACTCTGGAAATCATCCAAAGCGCCTGAAAGATATGCATCCTTATTCAGCAACTTAAATAAACACAATGGAAGAAGAGATTTCCCAGAATCCAAAAACACGCATGTATGCTGTAAGGGACATAGGAAAGGGGTTATGCGTTTACTTACTGTCAAGTAGCTGGTCTAAATCGTCGGAGTGATCGGTGGCCATGGATTTCCCCCAAATTTCTCCCAATCGATGCGAAGCTTTTCAACTCTTTGCAGTCTATCTACAAAAATCCGGTATTTTCGGTATCTTAGAAATAATGAGCACTGAAATCAGAAATGGCGGAAGGCAAGGACAAAATTTAGGCAGGAACAACTCCGACAAGCAGCAAGTAAAGGACTTCTAGGAGTAGGCTTGAGATGACGTCGTTTCAGGCGGAGTGACCGATAGTCCGATGACCAGAAATTAAATACGGAGTACTTTACACGGGTGCTCCCATATGAATGAATTTGGTCATGACACCTTTTGCCTTTTGGTTTCTCTTCGACTTACCCCATGGAAATTATGTTTTCTTACGAAATCTGTTTTCCAAATTTATTTGAGGTTATGTTTATAGAAAAGTGTTACATAAAATTGAATTGAGTTAAATTTTGAGAGTTGTGGAGTAAAAGTACACAATAATGCAATTGTGATTCTAGAGATACATAAAATCGAAAAATTAGTATTAATATATTACCAATTTGTACTAGCTGGTTTAAAATACCTACTTGACTAACGGATTAGGCGAATAAAAGTCACCTCATCTGCAAAATAAAACCCTAACCATTCTGGAGCCTTGATTTTCTGGAGGTATTTGAAGTACTCAGATATTGGGGGTGAAGGAGAGTGGAAGTTTTCCCAAATCCAGCTGAAAGAAGTATGTGAGTGATAATTTGCGTGGCCGGCGTATGGGTGGTCAAAGAAATTGTTGTTGGCCGGCGTGGTGGGGGGGCTAGAATCGGGGAGGATGTAGGGGAGTTTCTTGGTGGGTTTGTCCTATCGGGGTTGCAGTAGCCGGAGCTGCTAGTGGTGTTGGGAGGAGAGGGAGGGAGAACTGGGGTGGGAGAAGTGATGTTGTTGTGGCTGTTCGGGTTGGTGAATGGACGGAGATGGTGAAGAGATGCACACCGCCGGCGGGCGGGGAGGAGTCTTGAAGGTGGCGGAAGAAGGAGTTCGGAGGAAACGGAGGGTGTCACACCAGAAATGGAGAAAGACTCCCCGACTAAGAAGGAAACCAGGGCAGAGCTGGTTATCTGGAGGGAGCGACACTAATTGGAGTGGGCCGGTTGGATTGCACCGTTTACCGCCAAACGCTAATTATTGGCAAGTCAGCATTTTAAATGTGATAATACAGGTTCGTACTAAATTAACACTGATTTTTCAATTTTATGTACCTCTAAATCACACTTGCATTATTGTGTACTCTTTACTCCATAGCTCCCAACTTTATATACTCATTTGACACTTTTCTCGTTATGTTTTGTATGTGTAATTTAATGCAATAAAAATTGTAATGTCATGGAATGAAATCTTTATTTCATCACCATGATTGGTTACTTAAGTAATACTCCCTTCGTCCTGCAAAAAAGTTTTGCACGTGATTTACTGTTTGACTAGATATAAAGTTATCTGATCCTTGTGAGTGATTATTTTTTTAGTAAATCAAATTTACATGTTCATAAACTACATTAACAGTTTTATAAAATCCCAAAAGTAAAATTCAAATTTAATAAAAGTTGGATATACAAATTAAAAGATTATTATACAACTTTTTTGATTAATTTCTCATCCACAAACTGAACCATGTAACATCAATTTAATTTTTTGGAGTCTTCCATACAATGTCTTTTGACTTCATCAAAAGCTTCCTCCATTTTGCCAATAAGTTGTGATTTCAGCAACAGATCATCCTCTGCGATGACTTCTCCACCACCCTTATTGGTTCTCCATCTATTCTCTGCCATGCAAATAAAAGATATCCCCACTATATACCAATGAGATACTCGACCATATTGTCTTTCCCCAACCATCTTCACCACATAAACTTCAACGCAACTCATGACAAACATGGCAAACCAAGCTCCAATCTCGAACACTACCAATTTGCTGTTTTCCCCATTCCTACAATATTCCATGACACCTAAAATTGACCAATATCCAAGTCCTAATACGTTGACCACGATATGGGAAGCGACTAACGTTCGACAAATGACACGTTCAGTAGTCGATGTATTAGGATAACCTGTCACATCTGAAACGTTAGTCGCTTCCCAAGCGTGACTGAAAAGCCAGACGAACATCCAAACCCCGAGGATTAGTCCATGGCTACTCATCAATTTTCTTTTAAATAGCATCACTCCTAGAATTGCTACTGTGACCGTGATTCCTCCCAAAACTGGAACAATAAAAATAGTTACCAAATTGGTATAATTACCTGCAAGAGTATTTAAAAATAAACAAACAATTAAAAATTAAATAAGATTGGCTGGATTAATTGAAGTTATAAATAATTAAATACATGCATATAGATACTTGAAGGAGGTACGTACTATTCATGTGTGGTGGGTAGTAAGAGCAGCAATGAAAACAAAGATGGTAGCTGTGGAGTAGTTGTGATTCTTGATATTCACCAATATATAGTAGTTATGCGAGTGGTCCAACGTTTACAACCCACACTTTGTTAAGTTGAAGATGTGGTTCAAGATATTAGGGATTAGGATCCTCAAGGTACCATTGAGAATGTAGAGGGCGGTGATCGAAAAAGGCTTCGAGATTCGTGAAAAAAGCGAGCTCCTTCATCTTTTACTATTGATTTTTTATCCCATGGCTGCGGAAGTAAGACAGAGAAGGTGGATCCCGTTAAATTCCCACACCGGAAATTTGTGAAGGAATAAAATACTATATTAAGACATGAACTATTCCTCTTATCAGGTTGACCTGTTAGGATGGAACCCCGAATCTTAATAGATCCACATGTTAGTAGTCTTATTATGGGATAAAATAGGTAGTCCTATTCATGAACTCTCCTATATAAAGAATTTTCTCATAATATATTAACGGAAATTTGAATTTAACGCAAGATCCCATTTACATTTTTTTACTTTGTAGTGCATGTGAGCCCTAAAAATTATGAATTGTACTGTGTAGAATTTAGAAACTAAATAATAATAGAAATTGGGATATGCATAGACGCATAGTAAAATGTAACATAACCTCTCCATGTGAAAAGTGTCATTGTTATTTTTTAAAAATAGGACGACTCATTCACTCCTACGTAGTATTTTTTATTGGAAAGTTTTGATTGTTTTATTCTAGCTTTTAATAAGAATAACCAAGTCCTATTTCAGAATTGAAATATGTACATTTAATTTAGTCTTATTTTAAAACTTTATCCATGTTTCAATCCTAATTTGAACAATTTTTTAATTTATATTATATTTGCACGTTTTCCATCATTTGCAATGGAGCCAAAGATTCATTATTTTTTGGCTTGAGAATATGATGGAATAAAGCAAAATGACTCACTAAACTGTCTGCGCTTCTTTGTTATGAAGCAGTAATCAGTCCATGCAATTTTGGACACAATTTTCACTATGGGTCATCCGGAAACAGTGTCTCTGTGCTTTAGTACAGGGGTAAGACTACGTACATCCGACCCCCCCTTATCCCACCGTAGGTGGGAGCCTTTGTGGCATGGGGTAAATGAAAATGAAAATGATATTATATTTGCACGATCTAATACTATATCTGAATGAGTTACAATATATACGATCATAACATATTCTCAGCCATCTAACACATCCACCTCAGCTAGTGTCCCATTCTCATTGAGAGATAAAGAAAAGGGGAGCATAACAAAGAGAGTAGGAATTTGTAACTAATATTTAATTAGCAAAATATGAATTGATTTGGATCATATAGGTGTTATTTAATGTGGTGAAAAGGTGGTGAGATGAAAGAAAAAATTGGACAATAGAATGAGACTTGGCTTATTGTATCGATCATACTTTGAGGTACGTAAGCTGTTGCCACGTAGCTAGCTAGTCAAGTGGGTATGGAGTAAATTGATGCAATCTTATTCGGGATATAGGCAAAGAAAATAGCGTTAAAAGAGTGAGCTATGGCACATGACATGCTGCCTAGCTAGTTATGAGGTAATTGAACTTTCAAATTCAATAAAATACTTTTCACTTAAATTTCTTTCAACCATATAAGTCCTGGTTATGGAGTTTTACTATATAGAAGAAGGTTAATTCTGTGAAAATAACAGAAAAGCTCGAAGTTGTCGTTTTTATGATTTGCTCATCCACTTCAGTGTACTCCGTCTTAGTCTTTTGATGTCACTTGACAAATTTGTACACACAAAAAAAGAGAAAAATTATCTCTAGACTTTAGAAAGATAAAAATATGATACTCTGTCTGTCGAAATTGATCTCCAAAGTTAACTCGTGCAATACTTCAAAATTTGCACCAATTCAACTAATAATACAATAAAAATTGATAAGCCACACAAGGAATATCAAGAGACCTGGTTCTATTTCTTTTGGTTTGTTAAAAAAAATAAGTTTTGAAAATATTTTGGATGTCAAGTACCTTGTGATCTAATGATATCACTGTGACACTCCCAAAGAGGTCACAGGTTCAAATCTGATCCCAATTCAAGAATGTTGTCATTAACATTTAGAGAATTGTTCAAAAAAAAATTGGATAGTTCTTTTGCTAATCAAATTCAACTATTTTAACCATTTTTCAAAAATCCTTGGGCATCACAAACCCCCTGCACGGTTGCACTTGTAGGAGACTAGGACATTCACAGTTTCATACTTTCATACGGCATTGGGATCAGGACCTATGGTTATTTGACCCAAAACAGACCCAATTTTTTAAACTGGAAGACTGGAACCAGAACAAAAACCAGTGCAGGTCCAGTCCGGTTGGTTTCAAATCTTTCAATTAGGTGCTTTCACTTTTGATCAAAATTTTCTAATCCGGCACGATCTAATTTAATAAATGTCTGATATAAATACATTTCACTGTTGTGAACTAAAACTCATCCAAGTAAAACAGCTTTAATTCGTAAATGGGCCAGAAATGATGGGGTCCTGCCCTACTGCTTTTCAAAATCTTGACTATCTGATCCAAAAGGAGAGCAAGAACAAGCTCATAACCTCATATCCCTTTCTTAGACTACGCATCATTATAAGCTCACAAATGGACATGAATTAACACAAGGCAATACGCACAATGAAACTGTTTCATGTCAATGTTAAAACATCATCATCATGTCATACTACAAACATAATAACCCCAAACTGAAAATTAACGATGTTGTACTACTGTCTGCGTCAATTAACAGCCAAATTTCCCAGAGAAAGCCAATGTTCATATTGGTACACAAGTATAAATAAAAAACACTTGCCCATACTGGTAGATTCTTCCTTCATACTCTTGCCCCCCACTGGATCCTGAAATTTTTCGTAGTATAGAACTTTAAACTAATAAGATCTAGACAGAAAAAGGTTGGAGAACTACACACACAAGTTTGCACAACACCGCCTCATCTACTCAAACATAGAAAGAAGATCATGAACCCATTTCCCGACAAATCGAGAAAAACAATTCTTTCAATGAGCCCACTCCAAACAAAGGATCATTCAATACAATCCCCGCCCAAGACTGCCCTAGCTCCAAATACAACCAAAATTTTGAGAACACCCTACTTGTCAATAAGGAAAAAGCAACTCACCATGTGGGAACTTCAAACTATGACTTTAGAACCGATTAAATGATTTCCCATAATCATTACGTCTCTGACGAAAATCACCAAAGCTATCATGGGGCCTTGATGGAGGATAACCTTCCATGGGATTTGGATACCTGCTCCTGGAATCTGTGGGCAAAATGGATTCAGAATAATGTGTGTTTCCTGCAGGATTTGGATACTCTGTATAAACAGTTTGATTGTATGGATGACCGAATCCAGAAGCATGCATATTTTGAAGATTAGTAGAAGGTTGCATCCTTCTTTGGCCATCGATTTGAATCAACTCTTCCCTTTGCTTGGCATATGTCCCTTTGAGGAAAGCCATATTTCTCATGTAGTTCTCCCTTATTTGCCGGACAGCCTTGAAAAAAGGTGTCAGGTCAGAATTAAGCTTGGTTGGTTAAAGAAATATATAGGCATGAGCCTAATAGTCCAAAATATGAATTATACCAAAATCAATCTCAAGGGCTAAGCTTTTTTAAACCAGAAAAATACATGAGATAAATGAGTTTATTTTACGATCAAGGCTTTTATATAAGGACATGCCTCACGATGCTTATGATTCTCTTCATCTTCTTCCTTGTCCCGAATCCTTCCGAGTTCATCAGCATCTCTCTTATATTCCAGTTCTATTTCTTCCAATGTCTGCAGAAAAGCTGGGTAGTGAACATTATGGCCAGATTCCATGTCAGACACTCGTGGCTCACCATTCCAACCATCACTACTTGTGTAGGCATCCCTACTCTGACTACGTCGATCCCAAAAAGACCTCCGTCCCGGAGACCTTGACTGGCTTGAACGTCCTCTAGCTCCATCACTATTATAAGCTATATATATATACCAAAGGAAGAATTTGTTAAGAATAAGAACATCCTTTAAGACCTCTGAAGTCTCTATAATGATGGCAGCTTTGACACAAAATATTGAACTTCTCATTTACCCATCTAAAGAGAGTCTGGACATGCTTTCAGTTTAAAATTTTCATTTTGGTGACAGTACCTTTAATATCAGACCCCCATGTAAGTTACATCAGAATCGAACAGAAATCTTGGACAGAAGAACTTACCTCTTGCTGCAAAAAAATTTGGGCAACAAGCAACAATACATTATTATTAAAAGGAAAACAGAGGAATTCAAAGGAGCATACTAATAAAACAACAAAAGGCATGACTTAGAGTGTCTTAAGATCCCAATTTAGTCTTACTAGCACATTAGTATGAAAATACAACTGTATAATAGTATCTGCTTACCTTGGGGAGAACCCCTGGAAATGTTCTGCAATTCTTCATGAAACCTGTCACCAATTGTCTTCTCTTGTCTTGCACGTCTGACATCAAACTGTGAGGCTCTATGTGGGCTTTGATTCGATCTCTGTAGACCAGAGTGTACCAAACGAGTACTAACTGGGCTCCTGCGCTCAGGAGGTGTCCTGGATCTGGAAACGTTAGAATTGGGAAGGGATTTTTTCTCACCGTCTTCTTTGACTTTGTGAACTGCATCCACTCCCTTCTTCAAGATCAACCTATCCTTCCCACTAACAATAATAAATTTTTCCTCAATTTTAATCTTGCATCCAATATCCTTCTCAATCTGAGTCACCACTTTCTCAGTGAACAAGGCTTTTACGTGATTTTCTCTGGCAGGCACTCTTTCAAAAAAATCTTGAGACTTCCTATTAGCTCCAAGAGTTGAAGGACAGCCCTATAAGTAGGTGGGGTTAGCAGGATATTTGATATGTATAAAATTAGTCTTGAATATATGTCAATTGGTCATGTTATGTTTCCAATACAATGGACTTATCTAATACCAAATCATATGACTATCATTGAACGAACCCATTGGTG